TTTGATTATATGACTGTGTATATGTGCACATGAGTGCAGTGCCATAAAAGGCCTGAAGAGGGAGCTGGAGTTACAGGCAGCTGTAGGCCATCTTACTTGCTCGGAGAGAAATGGATGCTTTTAACGGCTAAGCCATCTCTCCAGTCCTCCAGACTGGTATTTTTAACTACTGTGTAATAGTAGATAAACCTAGAGCAAAAAAAAAAAAAAACAAAATTTTAGATAAACATTAATTAGGTATATATTTAAGCAGAGATCTGACATGAATATATTGAACTCTGAGCTTAGAAATTTTACTATGACACACAAATTCTCATGCTTTTCAGCCTTTGCAAAAAATTTTATTATTATGTATATATATGATACAGGGGAGTGGCACCACCTTCATGTAGGATCTGGGGACAGAACTGAGATCTTACCCTTGCTGACCAAAAACAAAAGCATAGCTTTTTAAATGCCAATGAATCACTTTTCCCTCAAGTATTAAGACCTTTCTGTTTCCAAATGAAAGCTTTAAGAGTTTTTTTTTTTTAATAGTCGAAGAACAAAGAAAATATGTCTGTTTATCAGGAACTCAGTAAGGGAGGTGTCTTTAGAGCAAACTAGAAAGTTGCTGTTGTTGGTGGGACAGCTGTGTAGCAGCAGAGTTGGATCTCACAGGGACTTGTGGGAAGGACAAGGTCCCCTGCTGGTGTCTGAAAGGCACTTGTGCACATTTTCTACCTGGAAGGGGGACTGCAAAAGAGTAAGGTCAGCCCAGACCCGCCTGACAGAGAAACATCCTCAGTTTTTACATACCTTATTTTTGTCAATTCTGGGGAGAAAAAAAAAAAAGTATTCTGCCATCTTAATATGATCTTTTATAAGCAGGCACAGATATTCTTATGAACCTGGTAGTTATTACATGACAGTGTTGTGCAATGGCATTTTAACAAAAGGAAGCTGAATCCAAACTATACAATAGGATAATGTAACAAGTTATTAGTACCTGTGCTTAGCTGGGCAGCGGCAGCCCAAGGTAGCCTTTAATCCCGTGCTCGGGAGGCAGAGGCAGGTGAATCTCTGTGAGTGGACAGGTTCCAAAGCTACACAGAGAAACCCTGTCTGTAAAAACAAATTAATTAACTAACTAAATAGTACCTGTGTGCAACTGTAAGGCTTTGTAAGATCCCGAGCAGACCTTTTAGTGATGGGAGATGCCATTATGTATATATGTTTCTCATACTGGTTAATGAATAAAGCACTGTTGGCCAATAGGAAAGCTAGATAGGCGGGACTAGGAGACAAGGAGGAGAGAGGAAGAGAAGGAGGAGTCAAGATGGAGAGTCTGGAGAGAGCAGTATGGCAGCCGGCTGTCTGGTAAGAGGAGACCACGTGGAGATCAGCAGAAATGGGTTAATAATTAAGACAGAGCTAGCCGATAAGAAACTAGTACCTGGCCAACAGCATTATATCAAATACAGAGTCTCTGTGTGTTATTTGGGGCTGGCGCGGCGGCGGGACAAGACCAGGCGGCAGGCGGGAAAACCTTACCCCTTACATTTTAGAAGGCACAAAGACAGAAAACCAGAACGAAATACTCTTTTTGTTCGTTGTGCAGTTGGGAGAATTGTCTCCCCTGACCATTCTTTCGGTTTTGAATGAGTACAAGAAGCAGTAGCAGATAGAGAGAAGCTGAAACACGGTAAAACACCATCCAAATGATGCGGACAGCACCCAGCAGAACTCAGCCAAGGACACCCTGGTAGAAAGAAGTAGGGATGCTGGAGTCAGGAACCTGGTAAAGGGTAGCATCCACCTGTCCTTTTTCCTCAGTCTGTCCATGTCACTGTCACTAGAAAGTAAAACAAGAGCAACGGGTCCCGCGGGGGCAGAAGCAGAGAACAAAGAAGTCTCAAGGTGGGAAGACAATTCTGCCACTCTCCAAAGACAGAAGTCAAGCCACATGTCTGTTGCCATCTTGATGACACCACTAGCCAAACATTTGAGTTAGGTTGGCATGGATACAGGGAGAGAAATTACCCTCAGGTGTGTAAAAAAGCAAAGTGAAGAAACGCAGAAAGGGATTCGTGGTCTCAACCCAAGAAAGGTGAGCCCATGGGTCTTACTGCACAAATTGTAACTGTGGGCATCAAGCAATGCGATCTGGATCCTCTTTTTTTTTTTTTTTAACTTCCCCTCAGATCCTAGACACATATGAGCTGTTGCTAAGAAAGGAATCCATATCTGCACGGTGGTAGTGCCTGCCTTTAATCCCAGCAGTAGGGAGGCAGACAGGAGGATCTCTGTGAGTTCGAGGCCAGCCTGGTCTACGGAGAGAGTTCTGTAGCCTCCAAAGCTATAGAGCAACCCTGTCTCCAAAAACAAAAAGGACTCTATGTAATGAGAGCAGAATGGGGATGTGTACTCTAGGCCCATAGGTAGCGCCGTTGCTCTGGGAGCACATGGAGAAACTGAGGACCAAATAGGCTAAGAGTAGACAGATCTGTGACCCTTTGTGTTGACTGGAATTTAAAACCGGAAATTGGTTTGTTAAAAATATTCCTTATTTAAGACCTTAGCAGTCTTACATAGTGCTTTTATCCAGGTAGAAAGGTAACTGCCCAGGGACGACATGTCATGAGTGATGTCACACTCATCACAACATAGGAAGCCACTGTCTGTCCTTCCTTCCCCGCGGAGCCTGATCAAAAGTCATCCGAGCTCTCTGAGAGTTTAAATGAAAAGTCTGCTTTTTAAGAAAAATTCATATTTGTTTTTACTTTTATTTATATATATGGATGTGAGCACTTGAGTAGTCAAAAATAAGCTTAATAATAATATTAAAAAATAATAATGAAGCTGGGCATAGTGGTTTTCATCCCAGCTCTTGGGAGGCAGAGGCAGGTGGATCTCTGTGAATTTGAGGCTAGCCTGGTCTACAAAGTGAGTTCCAGGACAGCTAGTGCTGTTGCACAGAGAAACCCTATCTTGAAAAACCAAGTAATAATTAATAACAATAGTAATAATAATAGGCTGGAGAGATCCCTCAGTAGTTAAGAGTGTGCATTGGTCTACCAAAGACCAAAGTTTAATTCCCAGCACTGTGCTAGCTCACAATGACCTATAACTCCAGTTCTGGGGTATCCAGCCACTGTGCCGGTCGGTACCTGCCCTCAAGTGCACATGACCCACATATTCACACGTGCATATATAAAAAAATATATCATTTTGTAACAGAAGCCCCTTCATATAAATGTGCATACTTAATTCAGTGCAGCTTAATTCACAATGGCCAAAAGATACAAACAAGAGCTGAGAGATGGTTCAGCACTTGCTGCTCTTGCAGAGGATGTGGGTTTAGTTCTCAGCATTCACGTGGCAGGCAGTTCACAACTATCTGTAACTCTTGTCCCAGGGGAACCAAGGCCCTCTTTTGGCTTCCACACACTTTTAAGAACACAAGAGGTGCACATACATAAATGCAAGCAAACACACACATAGGGGAATTTTAAAGAGATGCAAACAAGCCGTGTCTTCTAGCAGATGGAACAAATTAACAAAATGCTACTTATGAACAAGACTGACTACTTACACGGCCATAAAAAGGAACGGAGTTCTTAAATGTGGTACAACGCGTTTCCACCTTGAACATACACAACAAGAAATAAACCAGGGATATTTATCATGTGATTCCACTTACATTAATGCTAATTAGCGGCTATCTTGGCTATTTTCTCACTACGTGGAAATGAGAATGCAGGAAACGTTTTCAAAGAGAATAGAGATGGATGGTGCCAGCAGGCACGGTGAACGTGGCTAGTGCCACCGAGGTTGCATATTTTAAAATGGTTAAAATGGTTAGGTCCCAAAGCAGAGCTGCTGAATGCATCTGTCCCAATCATACTGACAAGGCTTATTCTGAAGGGTGGTGTTTGTTCCATAGTATCTGAGTCAGCCAGCAGTTTGTCCCCAAATAATTACCTTTCTACCCTAGTTTAATGGTTTCAATGTGCCCACATACGAGGACAGCAGCTTTTAAGGAACAGACTCATGCAGTAGTTTTGGGGGTTTTGTCTGTCTGTTTGTTTGTTTGTTTGGTTGGTTGGTTGGTTTTTCAAGACAGTGTTTCTCTGTGTAGCCCTGACTGTCCTGGAACTCACGCTGTAGACCAGGCTGACCTCGAACTCAGGGATCCACCTGTCTCTGCTTCCTGTGTGCTGGGACTAAAGGTGTGCACCGCTCCTACAGCCCGGCTAATGAAGGATTTTTTTTTTTTTAAATTAAGCTTTCATTACAGCATGATTTAAAATAAGAAAAAACAAAACAACAACACTTGGAGCAACCCAATAGCCAACAAGGGCTAAATGGTTTGATGCATTATCTTTTCGGGGACATTACACAGCTATCAAAAAGCTGTGCGAGAAAATGGAAATAAAGGGGGAAGAATAGTGCGTTGCCCTTGGAAACGTGGGAAAAGCCCACAATACTTAGGCGAGAGTTGACAGAGTGAGCCCAAACAACTTTCTCCTATATAGTCTTGATACATATGCATATATATACATATATACATATGCATATATATATATATATATATGAATTAGGATGAAATAAATACAGCAAGGGCGAAGGCGGCGGACCTCCCAGAGAGCGGAGCAGGGTAGAGAACGCATGTCTTCGGTAGCAAGGATCGGAATTCCGCAGGACCCGTGCGGGGACGGACAGCGGGAGCATCTCCTCCGCCAGAGGCCCTGGGCTCTGAGTACTGCCGCTCTTTCTTCCCCAGACCCTGCAGCAGCCGCTCGGTCGCATCCGCGGAGACCTCAGAAGCCTTTGCACCGCTTGGTTCCCACAGCGCGCGCCCCAGCCACGGCCAATCCCGCCCCGCCCGCCTCGCTCCAGCACCCGAACCCCTCCGCTCGGGCTCCGCCCCCGCCCCGCCCCGCCCCGCCCCGCCCCGCCCCGCCCAGGCGCCCCTCCCAGCCCGCGGGGTGCGGCGCGCACGCGCAGCGGAGGGCGGCGCGGGCGGCATGGGGACTGCGGCGGCGGCGGCGGCTGCGGCTACGGCGGCGGCGGCGGCGGCCGGGGAGGGGGCGCGCGGCCCGAGCCCCGCCGCCGTGTCGCTCGGCCTGGGCGTGGCTGTGGTGTCGAGCCTAGTGAACGGGTCCACGTTCGTGCTGCAGAAGAAGGGCATTGTGCGCGCTAAACGGCGAGGTAGGGCGGGCTGGGGCCGGGCCCGGGCTCCGCGCTCCGCGCTCCGCTGCTGCGGGAGCCGGTGAGCGGCGCTGCGCGCGCGGGCAGGCGCACGGGCTCGCTCTCCCTGCTGCCCCGCAGGCATCATCGCTGCGCCCCGCACGCTCTCTCTGTCTCTCTCATCAGTGGCCCGAGAGGCCTTCTTCACTCTGTCCGGTCCTTCACATCACCCTGCTGGGGAATGGGGAAGCCTCGGCGCAGGTGCTTGGCTTGCAGCGCCGAAGCCCAGAGGCCCGCACTCACCTGCTGTCAGGCAGGGCTGCCTTTCCCTAAAAGCCAGAGGTGGATGGAGCCAGGCCTGCCTGGCTGTGCCCTGGGCCTGGGGTGCCTTTGGGAGAGAGGGCACTTAGGGGTGTGTGTGTGTGTGTGTGTGTGTGTGGTCCCGCAGGGTGTGCAGGCGTCACTGGGGTGCCCAATCTCACCTTGAGTGCAAGGTCTGTTCTTCCCAGCCGCTGTGGCTTTGGCTTTGGCCCCCGGGGGTCCTTAGTGGAGTTACCTCTGGTTGACATTTCAACCATCTGAAGCGTGAAGAAAACAAAGCAGGCGTGCTTAGTGGGGCCTCCACTCCACCCCCGCCGAGCATGCATAGCCTGGGTGGACAGGTCACCAGATACACCACTCCGTATATAGAAAGTGGGATGAGGCACAGAGCCCTTCTTTGTCCGTGGCATGCATGTCATTTGTGTTGAGAGGCCTGCGACAGGCACTGGATGCCAGAGGCAGAACGCTTTCAAGGGGAAAGTAAACATGGCTTTCAGAGAGCCCCCCCACCCCCACCCCGAGAAAGGCTTGTTGTTGGAGCACACTAACCTCAAGAGCTCTAGGGGTGAGGACCCGGCTGCCAGCGAGTAGGAAGGAAATACACTTAATAGCTCTGATTACAGAAGACATTGGAAACTTTGACATGGCCAGGGAGCCAAGGACCTTCAGAAAAGAGACAAAGAACCGGCAACCTTGAGGGAAAGCACAAAACCAGCGATCTTTATTTAAAGAAATTAATTTCACAGTGAAAGCATTGCAATCTCAATGTAAGACCTAAGTCAAACCAAGTGTGGTTTCCCAGGCATACAGATGTGTCTCTAATAAACAAACATCCGATACACTTGGTACCTAGGCTTAGGGGCTGCCTGCCACTTTGTTCAGGCATGCTAATAGACAGAGGTGTTTATTGTGACTAAAATGGAAAAAACAAACAAACAAAAAAAAAAAAAAAAAAAAAAAAAAAGAAAACCCCACATGTGCCTTTGATGGGACTGTGAGAATGGATGCTTTACCTGTGTGGTACCTTTGCCAATCCCACAAGTCCAGGCTAACCCTGAGAGAAACCTGACACAAACTACACTAACTTCAGCTGAGGAACTTCATGACTGAGCTTCCAATGAAGGCAGTGAAACCTGAGGAGCTCTCATAATGAGCCAGAAGGAATCAGGAGACACACCATCAAATGTGAGACATTACACCATCAAATGTGAGACATTAGAAGAAAACAAAAGAAATCTGAGTACAGACTTTAGTTAGAAAAACAAAATACAAAACACACACACACACACACACACACTAATTGCCAGGTGTTGGTGGCGCACGCCTTTAATCTCAGCACTTGGGAGGCAGAGGCAGGCGGAACTTTGTGAGTTCGAGGCCAGGCCAACTCTGGTCTACAGAGTGAGTTCCACATCAGGCTCCAAGGCAATACAGAGAAACCCTGTCTTGAAAAAACCAAAAACCCAAACCAAACAAACAAAAAACATTACTAAGAAAAACCTATCAATTAGCAAGAATAAATGCATTGTTTCAGCTCAGTTTTTGTGTTCCAGGAGACTGCTAAATTAAAAAAAAAAAAAAAACTAAACTAAAATTGTTTTTGAGGTCCTGGGTTGAATCCTAAGCACCCTATTTTTTTTTTAATCAAAAACAAGGAATTTTATTTATTTATATTGTATGTGTGGGCTTTCAAAAATAGTCTCTCACTGTGTTTCTCAGGCTGGTCTCAAACTCATGATCTTCCTGCCTCAGAATCCTGTATACCTAGGACTCCGAGTGTGTGTTATCACACATTCCATACTGTGCTTTTAAATTAATAAAGTGGAGATGCAATATTCACTAGTTTTGTGTTCCCTCACTTTCCACCAACTACTGTAGGTTAAGATTACTCGTGGTGGCAAAAGGCAGAGAGTTTCCCTTTAGTAGAATCTACTTTTTAACAGCTATCTTTTTCTTCTACACTCTTATGCTCTATACTATTACAGACGCTGAAGCTACAACCGTTTTAAAATCTATTCTTGGGGCAGATACGATGATATATGCCTATCATCCCAGCCTGAGTAGCATAGTGAGCCTCCAGGCCCCCACAAAATAAAGTAAAAACCAACTCCCCATAATCTTTTACTATACCTACTTAAAAGGTGATACATAAAGGCTAAGTTCTTAGCTTAAGGGAGACTAAACCTTATGGTTTCTTACACTGTTATTAACTCTGCTTCCTTAGGGGATTGTACCTTTACAATTGACAGGTAGTAGCATTTCTAGGAAGTCCCAGCTTCAGGGAGGCTAAATTCTAATTGTAATTCTTTCTTGGAGAGGTTTGGGGAGCTACTTGCTTTTAGTTTCACCTTTAAAGGACCTTCTTAATGAATGGGCCCTGTGTTACTCCTGGAGAGCTGAAGAGGGCCCTCTGAGGCGCAGGCTCATGATTTAACTACCAAGCTTCTTTTTTGTGCCTTTGGTTGACATGGGAGTGGGACCAGGGCAAGAGCTCTCACTCTTTCATGGGGCAGTTGTTCTGGACCCCCGAAAAGACCCAAATTGCATATACTCTCTTCCCTTGCTTTATGTGGTGTGGTATTTTCATGTAACTTATGCCATCCTATATTCATATCTTACACTTCTACTAATCTGTTAGTGGCTTGCAAAACAACTCAAAGTAAATGCTGTGTAAATAGTTGTTACACTTTGTTGTTTAGGGGAATAATGACAGGGGAAAAGTTCATACATGCTAAGTATGGACTTTTTGTTTGTTTTGACACAGGCCACCCTACATCCCAGCAGGAAGAGTTATTATTGACCAGCCACACTCTTGTTCTTGACACCACTGGGAAACAGTTAAAGTGGTATATTAGTTACTCCTCTTGTTACTGTGACTGTCAGCCTGGCAGGAAGCATTTAGGAGGGGGGAACAGTTTTCCTGTCTGTTCACAGTTTAAGGAGATGCGGTCCGTTGTCCCAGGGAGGGCATGGGCCGGTGGCTATTTGGCATTGAGAGTTTGAACCAGCTGCGTTATGGTTTGAAGGTGAAATGTCCCCCCCCCCCTAGTGACATGGTGGCGCCGGGAGGGTTGTGGACCCTTTTGAAGGTGGAGCCTCTCTGAAGGAAGTAAGGTACTGGAGGGCAAGCCTTGAGATTTTTTTTTAGTACAGTCTATTTGCTGCTCATCCCCTGGTTCATGATTTTGGGTGAGATGTGACAGGGGGCCTCTTGCTGTTGGAAGCTTTCCCCTCACCCCCCCCCATGTATCTATGTAACTGTAACTGCATGCCAAAATAATTGTTTCCTTCCCGAAGTTGCTTCTTGCCAGGTGTGTGGTCACAGTAATAAGAGAAGAAACTAAGCTCCTGCTGCTGTCTGTGGCTTCCTACTGTGATGCAGTATCCCCTCAAATTGGGAGGCAGAAGAAACCCTTTCCTTAAGTTGCATTTGTCAGGGTATCTTATCACAGTAATTAGGAAAGGAGCTCAGAAAATTAGTATTGAAGTGGAGCTGTTTACTCCAGATGGAAGTTTTTGTCCCGCCTGGTCCCTCGGCCATTTAGTCCCAATGAACACACAGAGGCTTGTATTAATTATAAGCTGTTTGGTCGATGGCTCAGGCTTCTTATTGGCTAGCTCTCTCTTAATTATCAATCCATTTCTGTTAATCTACGTATCTCCACGAACTCTGTGTTTACCAGAGAATGCCTGAGGATCCTGCCTTCCAGGTAGCTACATGGCATCTCCTGGACTCTACCTACTGCCTTTCTCTATAGCTGTGTGGATTTCCCACTTGGCTAAATCCTGCCTCTCCATTGGCTGAAACAGCTTTATTTGTCAACCAATAGGAGAATCATGTATTCGGAAGCATACAGAAAACATCCCCGTCAGTTTGCAGTGTGCATCCTCTAAAAATTCCTGTAGTTCTAAATAAAAATTTTTGAGACAGCCTGGTCAAGGTCTTCCTTATGAATCTTGGGTTTGCCTCAAATTCAATATGAAGTTAAGGGTGACTTTGAACTTCTGACTCTTCTACTTTACCTACCCAGTGCCATTACACAGATTTACTTACTGCATAATCAAGAGACCTTGCACTGTCTTCTGACTCAAGACAATGTTTTAAAAACTTTGAGCTCATATAAAAACTTTTAGGAAAAGAAAGACAGTGGCCTTTGAGATGGCTCCTCAGGCCACAGGGCCTTCCTCAGAAGTCTGTGCACTGAGTTTGATCCCTGGGATCTGCGCAGACATGGGAGCAGTGGGCACCACAAAGTAGTGCTCCGCCATCCGCCATCCGCACGCGTGGTGTGTCACGTGTCCCGCCCTCCCCATCACACACACTCACACACACACACACAGACACACATACAGACACACACAGAGACATACACACACACACACACACACACACAGAGACACACAGATACACACACAGTCACACACAGACACACACACACAGATACACATACAGACACAAATACACACACACATGCACTCACACACACACACACACAGACAGACACACACAGACACAGATACACAGACACACACACACTCACACACATACAGACACACACACAGAGACACACAGATACACACACAGACACACACACACTCGCACACACACAGTCACACACAGATACACACACAGACACACACATACACACACAGACACAGATACACAGACACACACACACACTCACACACACAGGCACACA